GCCTTGCCTTGCCTTATCTTCCTTCTCGCCAATCAGTGCATTGAGGTGTTGAGGTGCGGCAAAAGTCAGCATTACCCACAGGTGGTGCTGTGTGCGGCAACATGGGGATCAGTTCGTATCGATTGGCGCTGATGTCGATGCTGTTGGTGGTGGTGGTGGTGGTGGTGGTGGTGGTGTTGCGAATGCCATTCACACAAAGCAACTCACCGACTGAGTCTACAACGGACATAATTCGTGAATGGCATTGTTGAAGGAGTGATTGAGTGGACTGGTGATGTGAACGGTCTCCATCTGCGTTAGATGCAAGAGATGTGAGGAAGGACTCAGGGATTGGGGACCACCTTGGGAGGCACTGATCGCGCCTTCGTCACTCAAGGCGACAAGAGTCACTAAGTGGAGGAGGAGGAGGAGGGAGGAGGAGAAGCTGTGTGTGCTGTTCGTTTTGGCAAAGTGTGTTTGGTATTTTGTGGTTTTGGTGATGCGAGTTGGATGCCATTCACACACCACTTTGCACAAAGTGAGGCGAAGGTGTGAATGTGGATACGTTGGGGTGTGGACTGCGCAGTAGCGTGGTTGGGCTAGAGGGCGTCGTTAGGAGGAGTGGTGCACCAGCTTACATCACCAGGTCCACCTGTATGATGCGTGGAGAACACGGTGCGGCTGCCTCCATAGAGGGCGCAACTGCGTGTGTGCGCGCAGTTGGCGTGTGATGTGGAAAGTGGGTGAAGGTAAGCGCCAACACTTGGTGGTGAGGGAGGCGCAACATGAGAATAACACTTCGTGTTGGATGGAGGTGGAGAGGGGGGTGAGGAGAGTATCAGTGGGTGGCGGAAGTAGCGCCTCTTCATGTCACACTCACACGTGGGCGAGGTAGTAGGAAGTGGTGGACACTTGCACTGTGTGACGATGTGGCGGTGTTCGTGGATTGGGTGGAAGTGGTGAGGAGGTGTGGAGAGATGACTTCTGTGTGAGGCGGCATGTTTGGTCGTTGATTGTGTGAAGGAGAGGCAGAATGACGTTTGCCTCTGTGAGAGTGCTGTAGTCGTGTATGTGTGCGTGTTTTGTTTCCTTGCAGAGCACCGACTCAGTGGAGGGTTTGTCGGAACAGACGCGGTGGTTTGTGCAGGCGCGCACGAATTTGCATGTGTTGTTGGACAGTTTTGCTCACGCACCCAGTCGCGACATGAGTCCAGAGTTGTTGCGGTACCTCATTCGAATCATGCAGGTTAGCGACCTCGAGCGTCTTGCCCTCCTGGTGGGTGGTGGAATGCCATCGTGACTGAGTCGTGGGTTGTTTGTAGTTGCAGGCGCAGGAGTCGGTGTTCCTGAGGCAGATGCTGGAATGTCAGAAGGAGAGTAAAGTCTCGCAGCTCGTAAAATACATTGGTGGTGCAAGTTTCGTAAGTACTTTCCTTGTTCGCTAGTTTTCAGTTATATTTTTGCTGAAATAATTTCCCTTCTAGAGACACACATTGTCCAGCGGAAGTATCTGTGGCAAACTTATCATTAAGGTGTTTTGATCGCTTTATTGTGATTCCCTTTCTTTCTACTTGCAGTTGAGTGAAGGTTACGGTAAAGTGGCCACACCAACAGCCTCCGCCTACGACGATCCCGAGGGGATTCAAGTGACTGCCGTCATCCCTCCCTCTTGGTTGAAACTTTTGGAAGTTAAATCGCAATACTATCAGGCACAAATTAACTACAAACTCGCTGTCATCCTTCTTTGCCTTGCTGTGGATGGAAAATTGCCGGAAGCTGAACCGTTTGTGTTGAATCCCTTACCAGTGGATGGCCTATACTCAAACGACGGTTTCCTCGACGTCGAAGTGGCCAGGCAGCTAAGTACGCAACTGCCTTCTCCATTGATTGAAGGAAGAAGTGCTAGCTTTTTGCAATCTCCTCTGACTAAAATCACTTGTCACTCAATCTTAAATCACCTTACCTTAAGCTCATAAATCTCACTAGCTGCCATCAACTGCAGCATCGTTTAATGCAATACGTTGTCATCGCCACATTGATAGGTTTCACCTCTCACATGTGTGTGACGTAGGTATTGAAAGCACTTGTCTCGTGATGTCAAAGACCTGCAGCCTGCTGACAACGCTCGGAGTCACGACGTCAATCTACATTTCTTTCCATCTACCTAAACAAACGTCTTTCTCTTACATCGTAGCTCCAATATTTTCTTTCACTTGCAGTCTCTCCACCTTCTTTGCCTATTCCACTCAATCCAAAGAATCTACAGAATGAACTTTGACAGTTGTCATTTCTCAGTACCGTTTGTGTACTTTACATGCCTGATTCGTGATTTTGCAGTTCTCACTATCTCAAAGTGATTTATATGGACTAGAAAAAATGACTTATGATTCAGGATTTCAGGTGTTGGCACGCCACTAGCATGCAATGACACCTGATTGTATTAAACCTTGAGACAATTGTAAGAAAATTAAGCATCTCATGTGATCAACTGAGTCGCTTCCTGTTCACTTACCTATGCCACCATGTCTTTATCAGAAAAGTTGCACTTTTACCCATCATTTTGTCATCAATCACTCCAAAGCATCGAGTATTTCCACCTCAGTGGTAAAATCACACACAAGAGCGTCTTATGGCTCACTTGAGGTTTCAAATAACAAAACGTGCCTAGGGACTGCCATCAAGGAGGTACAAGGTGTCAGCAGTACTTACGACAAAACACGGATGACTGATGAAGGTGTCTCCTACGAGTGGATTACTAAAGGGAGTGTATAACCACTTCAGGTTTTGATCTGAGCCTTCACGTCTTTTCAAACTGAAGTCGAATAAAATGGCCTACTTACTATTCTTGATATTTTAAGAAATTTTTTTCTTGCGACTTAGACGACCTCTTCACAATGCTGAAGCCCTACATTAAATTGCATCGAGACACCCCACGAGCCGGCCGCAAACACCTCCGCCGTGTACGTCGACATCACAGACCTTCTGTTAATGGCGAGACTCCGCGTCCAATGTCTCGAATCAAACGCACCTTTTCTAGCCTCTCTCTCAATGCTGTGGGCCGAAGCAAGTCACGTGGTAAGTTGTCATCTCGGTTTCATTCACCAAAGATTGTAGTTTTCCTTATCACAATGAAAAAATTGTGTAAAGACTCATTCCTTAGACTAAATGGTCCAAAGTATTGCTTTCAAAAAGCAATTAACTTTCTCACTTTTACCACTGTTTATTAGCTTCGGAAGACCTCAGCCTCTTTGGAGGCCGCTCCTCATCGCAAAGTGTGCGCTCTGGATACTCTTCAGACTCGGCTATATCCATGCCAAATTTGACGGGTATTGGAGGGGCATTGGATGAAGATCTGGTGGCTCCGCCCTCCACTCGAAAGGACAGTCACCTCCTCGGTCAGGTCTGTCTGAAAGAGGCACTGTCCTGGGCGCGGATGGCTCTCCATTCCATTGAACAGTCTTCCGATCTCAATCGCGAAGCAAATCTTAAGGCCTTTGTTAGCAAAGATGTAGACATGTGAGTTGTTCCTGAATGCTAACATGTGCATAATCGGTCTGATTGAAGTACTGCTGAATTATTTCAGAGTTGACTCTGAAGTATGAGTGATGCACATAAAGCCTTGATAAGTACTTCAACAGAGTGGCAATTGAAAGGTGTGAGGCTCGGCAAAGTGGAGGTGTTTATAAAGGCTTTGTCAGCAAGTGTGTTATCAGTTGTAGAGCTCTTTGCGCCAATCTTTGTAGTCTATTTCTGGCGTGGCAAAACTGGTGGATTTAAATTTGACAAATGGGACATCATCGTGATATCTTGAAGCACAATATTGCTTCTACTCCAAAGGCGAAGCATCGTCAACTTGTGCTTTCTGGCTCTCAATGCAGCCTACAAGCAACCGCATTTTTAAGTCTCGACGCTGTATTTCATCAGCATTACGAAATCACTGTCAGAGGCTAGCAGTCAAATTTAACCAGCCGTTCCCATTGTCTATTTGATACCTTCATTTTGCAGTACCAAATTCGAAGGAAAGCCAAAATCAGATCTATTATATCGTTGCTCTAATAAGTTTTGCTTTAATCAAATACAGCAGAACTGATTTTAGGCTGATATTTTTTTAGATGGACGGAGCAACTGGACCGCATATCGAGTAGTAACAATTCAGCTCCTAAAAAAAAGCAGCGCAGCAAATTTCTACCCAGATCGAAGTCTTTTAATCGACGCTCTCCGAATGAGGACACAGCAAGCGTCGTCTCCGCCTCGAGCAGGAAGTCATCAGCCCCCACCAGTGGTGCAACAAAAGGCCATGCAAATACTTGGACAGCGCCAACCTTCTTAACCACCGAAATTGAACTTCCCAAGGATTTGAGCTGCAATCTACTCAAGAGTGGAAGGAATATGCTAACAAAGGGAGAAGATCCCTTTCGCGATTTGGGTCCCTTGAGATATTTCAATGCGCAAAAGCGGTGGTCAGAGCCCTATTCGGTGCAGCTGGTTCGTGATGAAAAAGTGGTTTATGGCTTTAGCATCCAAGGTGAGAGTAGTATCCACGAGGAAATATGATGATCTGAAAGGTGATCTTGAAGACTTTCACAGGTGCTGCTATTGTTTTCTGCACTTAGTAGAATATACGAGCCCTTGTTTTCAAATGTAATTTTTCATCGGCGTCATTGCCAAGACTGTTCTAAGTGGCTTTGGAGAATGGGTGTAGGTAAAACTAACCAGCAGGACCTCTTGAAAATCATTTCCGTTATTAACACTCCTCTATACTGCTACTACTACAGGGACCGGTCCAGTAGAGATTCTGGGGGTGGACGCAGATACTCCGGCCAGCGACAATGGTATGCGCAGCGGTGATCTCGTGGTGGGTATTAACGGCATGGACGCGCGCTTCATGACGCACAACCAGGCAGTGGCAGCCATTCGTTTCGGCATGGAAGGCTACGACCGAGCACTGCGAGCTCAAGCCGCGACTACATCAGCCACCGAAAATGGCGAATGTGGTGTAAATGGGGAGAACTCAGTGCCGATTACTTTTCCCCTCGAAGTGGACATTGTCAAACTCACGCTAATCCGACCCATTCCACCTGAGCCAAAGCCGGTAGCTCGCAGACCCTCCGTCTATCTCGCCTCGTCGGATACTCCTGCGCCTGAACCAACCACTCCCAAGGTGAGCATCTTCATGGGCAGCACGCAGACCTCTCAGATATGGAGATTTTTTGTTGTGAGCTGACTAAAGGGCTCAGAAATAAGACAACACTTCAGCTTAATATTTGGATTTCGAGTCCAATCAGAGGCTGTCGTTTTTTGATGTTCGCTTGACATATTTCTTGGCTAATAATTGCCACTCACGCAGCAATTGCACCAATCCAGTGTCAACACTCAAGATGGCAGGAATGGCTATAGATGCCAACAATGCAAACGTGACAAAACGTACCCTCGTGATGCACGTCGTTGTGGGAACAACGCCCTTAAATCCGAACTCACAAGAATCTGCCTTTCTGCAAAACTTCAACGACTCATTTTCCGTAACAGTGAATTTGACGGATGTATTTCTTGAACTGGGTAGTCTCAGTCCAGAGCATATTGGTTAGTTATGTGGAACCATCTCCCGTCAGCATGATCGCAGCATTGAGATTACTTCCATTGCTAAAATGTACTGGAGGAGAGGAACCTCCCCATGAGAACAACGTAGTTGAGATAAAGGGGGTCAGTCCGACCGACGGATCCTCCAGCGCAGACTAAAATGAATGCATGACATGCTCTATGGACAATCACTGGTGTTACGATCGAGTGGCACTGGTTGAAAGCAAAATGATACTGTGAATGGTCAGCATTATGGTGCCCTCTTAACCAAATACAAATTCACCCCTTCGTTTTAGGCTTTTAAACCAATCAAATCGTTTAGGAAACGAGTAAGTGTTGTCAACGCCTTTCGACTAACTTCATCTCCTCCTCCTCCTCCATTGTTTTCCATTGAATCACTAGCGAGGACTCATTTGTATTTATCTCCTTTGTCACTTAGTCTAAATCAAAGCCTAGAGCAGCATCTCGGCATAGGTAAGGGGAGGAAAGAAAGCTCCTAACCAACCCATCTAACCAACCTAGATTTTGTGGTGTGGGCCTGAAAGTACTGTGTGACTCCTGCCTAACCTCTACCTCCTTATGACTAACTTTCTTGTACTCGACCACTTGTGAAAAAAGAACTTTTAAAATTCTCCAAGCAGTTCAATGTACTTATGAAGGTCACTCCCTGGGTTCAAAATGTCGCGCTCTGAGGCTTCTCTGACGACAAAATTGAGAAACTAAACTGTTGTACCCACAGAGAGACTTGAGGCCACTGATATGGTCCAAAGAATACACAAAGACATGGTGGCAGCACTGCCATAAGTCTCGTTCTTTGATTACATTTTTTGGGGTCAGACTTATGAGTGGGGAAGTCAATCGTCATAGTGGAAACTTGCTCCACCCTTCAACGAAGCTCTATGGGCCTGTTTGAACTGATGTGTTAACAGCCGTACTAATAGCTAACACAACTGCAGCAATCATTATGTGCATAAACCGGTTCGCTCCAGGTTCATAGGCTCCAAATCCAAGGAACGGCCACTTCACGAGAGAACTTGATTGTACACATTTGGCGTAAGTTCTCCTTCATGAAACCTTTGACCAACTAAAAGGCCCTGATTGAGAAACGTTTTCTTTTTTCGTGTTTTTCGCCTTTAGTTAAGAAAGCACAGCTTATCCAGTCAGCTACGACCTCTCTGCAAGTCCCCCAGTCGCCTCTTCCAATCCGACGGTTGGCTCTTTGGCCTTTCTACGAAACTGCGAAAACGCAACTCCACTTTGAGCAGTCGTGGTGATTCTCCTTACGCCTAACTTGGGTCAATTGTGATTAACCTCCTCCTTTTTCTCGTGTTTTGCCACTTTCTACTTCATATGAATCCGCGCTGTCGTCAACACATCAAGTCGTATTACTCCACGTCTTCCACCGACTCTTATTACTGCTGTTTTTGACGCCTTACATGCTGATTTATCGAGTTGTTTAAAATGACTTTTAACTACAAACATAGCTTTTTTGGAAGTGCTGACGAGATGTTCGACTATCAAACGAAATCACAGAGGATTTGGTGCCCACCTTATTTAAATGTGAAGGTTGTGCCGAATAGGTTAAGCTTATTCCTCTTAAAGTGGTGAGATGATGAGTAGGACGGCTAAATTTTGCCCCACTAGCTGCCAAGATGTGAGCGAATTTCGCAAACAACATTTTGGGAAACAAGTTCCTTGCGAATGTCATCTGCTGTCACAGGGTAAATGTGTCAATCATTCTGAAGGGTCTTTTTAAAGTTCAACAGCATAAAATGCAAAAAGGGTGGAAGTTCCACCCAAGTGGAAAATAAAGGTTGCGGGAACCAGAGTCTGTGTGTGTTGGATTACTGAACTGGCATTGTCATTGACCATTTTCCTCCATTCCCTCCAGGTTTTAATCTCAGGCTCACAGTGCTTATGTGCGGAACACACCCAAATCCGATTTTACGATTCGTCAAGTGAATTTTTTGCCTTCGAAGAGGACCCTTAAAGTCTCGTTGCACCAACAGTGTGACTTTTCATATGAATTTCACTAGGAAACTGCATCGCGGTGAAAGTTTATATTACTGCTGCACAAGAATAGTTACTAGCACCTCACACCTATAGGTTTTTTCCTTGACAACTACGTTCAGTCCTCAGGTGAGTCCAATCAGTAGAGAAATATGTTGAGCCAGTAAATCCAAGGGTAGACTTGGGTATTCTACGAATGAGTCGACTTCAAACGCGGAAACAAAGGATAAAGTCTCAAACGGTCAGGTCATTCAAGATTATGCCGTCAATTACCACTTGGAATGGCAAAGATATTAGTCAAAAGTCATTCAGTAGACTTGAGAGTCGTCCGCCCGTTCAATGTGTTAGCCTTATTTTCGTCTCGTGCTCATTTACTGAATACAATAAGTAGCATTTTCATTGCAGCATTTTTATTTAATGCACCAGCCACAGATTTCTCCTTATGCGTCAAAATTGCAGACATTGATAGACTAATTTGAGGTCATTCCCAGCATCTTGGAATAAAAATGATACAAGAGAACCGAGGGCAAAAGAGCAATTTATATGTTCGTAGCTCCACAAGATAGGTTGGAGTGGCAGAATGAAACCGAATTCCTTTTGCTATTACATAGCTTCTGATAAAAGAAAATTATTGTTTATTAGCATCATTAACAATCTTTCTTGTGCATGTGTTTGAATTGTGACCCCATTTTGAATCGGAATACTCAATCAGAGAAGCTGTCAACATAAATGTCTTTATTGCCGATCTGTACCCTTGCAAAGTAGGCTATGGCTACTGATTGAGTACCGAAGACGACGTGGTCCCAAGCCCACATGCTCTTTAGCACTTTAATCGCCCGTTTTAAAATTGCGTCCGACAGTACTTTCAATGTCTGCCAGTGTTATTGACCATTTAATGGAGCGGAATGCGAATGCAAGTTCTGCAAATTTATGGGAAATTAATGATCCAGTTGCGCCTTTCCGTACTTTCAAGCAGGACCCCCACCCCATGCAGTAAGGAAGCAATGCGCGAGGAAGGCACTAATTTACATTCACTGCAATTTAGAAAGTTCGGGAATCCTAGCAAGTCAACCCCAGATAACAAAAGCATCGTCCCTCTCATTCATGGTCAAAAATATTTACCACATAGAGACTGTTCAAAGTATGGTTTACGAAAAAAAGCTTCTGTTTATCTCCAAAGGGCTCAAAAATGAAAGTTCCGTTAAAGATATCGATGCTCTACGCTATTTGATCCAAATAAACGTGTAAGACAGCCTCCAGCCTACTTGATGCTACCCCCCATGTAAGTAGAAGGAAGTGGTGTGCTGAATTTTCCACATCATAAAACGAAGCATTCAAAGAGAGATTTCCTGCCCCAACCTTGTCCTGCATAACCCATGGTAGATTCCCTACTAGTGTGATTATCGTCCTGTCTTGAATTTTCTACTGACCAATCACACGGTCACGCAAAATGTGAACTTGGCATTTTGAACGACGGGAAGGCGAAACATCAGGCTTTCACTTCTGCCATGGATGTAGAAAGCAAGCATTCCAGTTAGTCATGATTCTACTGTAATTATATCAAGTTAAGGCACCCTCCATAAAGATTTGATGAATGCTGCTGAGTAGACGCCTCTTTTTAATTGCACCCCAGGGTTGAAGGTCGGTAGATTGAATGAGGCAGCAGCTGACCTCCAGCACATAGGGTCGCAAGGCGTCCACACCGAAGACGGTACAGTCAAAGTGGCCGTCCGGAGTCACCCATCGGGTACCAATGTCAGCATGATGAGGCACTACTATTTTGGTGATTGGAAACTGCAAGAAGCGATTGGGATAAATCACCTTACCAAAGCCACACAACGCCTCCACTTTCTCCATCGTTAACATAGCCAACAGAATTGTCAGGATGTGTAATGCGATGACAGCCATCATCTGAAAACGAAGTAGGCCGTAAAGTCTATTTATTTATATGGCGTGTATGGAAGATGAGGAGCAAGGTGATAATCCTTGCTGGTTCACTGAGGTTTGGATTTCGAAATGTGAAAGTTCAATTGTGTATTTGTTAAGCCACAATTTTGGTGCTGCTTCCCCTGACTCCTAGCTGCAATGGAAGAGAAGTCAATACGTGCAAAGCTAAGCAGATGAGCTTACCAATCTTCTCATTTTCAGCTAGGGCGTAAATTTTTCGTCTGTGCATCAATAAAGATTTGAATTTTCGATCGTCACTTGAAGACAGACAGGTGTTTGAAAAAAGGAACACTTCAATTGAGAGGTAGAATCTCCCATGAAAAAAAATTAAAGCTGGCGACAATGAGATTGCTGCAGTTTTGGAGTTACGCATCTCTCAGTCGCCGAGGTCTTGACTTTTCCTGTCATTACGTTTGACGTAGTTGCCATTAGGCTAGTTAAAAATACTGACCCACCTCATATCTCGTGAGTTCCAAGTGCTTTTCCTCTTTAACATAATAATTATGCAAAATCGCTCCACACCTCAAGTCACTAGGGTTTGAACTAAATGCAAAATAAAACGCCCAAACACCCTAGCTGGAGGTAAGCTGTGCCCAAAGCTTCGGCATGAAATCTATCCAACATCCACTTTGAATTCTTCACAAACACATTGACTCTAAAAGAGCAGTAAATTCGACCAACTAATATGGTGACTGGTTGATCCAATCTGATCACGCCTCATTCGAGCATAAAGGTCAAAAGACCACCCCATTGAATCAGAGATCTGCAACGCTAAATCTCTACCCCTTTGGAAACTTAAACGTTAAAAGTAAGGCGTGTAAGTAGTCCAATTCCGGTTCGGTAATCCCAATAAGACTTTCGGGCACGATCACTCACTTCTTATGTAGTCCAATGCCTGACTAAAGGGCACCACGGTTTGGCTCGAGTGATTTCAGAAATCTCACTAGAAATAGTATGAAGGACTGCAATGCAAATATGAACCTAACGAAACACAGTAACGTCTCATCGGAGGGGTTATCAAACGATCCCATATGAGAATGCTGTCTGCCTCCAAGCCTCTATAAGTTCCTTGTAAAACAAAATGACGACCTGCCCTGCTACAGTAAAACAGTACTAGGATATTTCGTAATCTTCTACTAATATCCTTTCAGTGCAAAACATACCACAAATTGAAGGTACATAGTGTACAGGAGCAGACAGCGGTAGCAAACTATTTGATGTGGATCCAAAACCACGTAAACTTCAACGCAAGGTTGATTTCGATTAATCAGAGCATCCAAAATTCCAACCAGTCAGATTTTTTGGCATCTTCCTGGAGGATGATCAAGTGCAATGCAGTTAGAAAGCAAAACGTTGCTTTGTCCTCTACAAAACTTTGGAGAGGCAGATAATAACCTAAAACTGGTGCCAGCGATTTATGAATCTCACTGATCGGCGCTTTTACCTAAAGTTTGGAGATTTCAGAAATGAGAAATCAGAAGGGTAACAGTGAATGGCATTATTACAAGCATAGAATTAAAGGAGGGCAAATATCATCGATTCCCACATCTGTCCTCGTTATCTCCGGAAACTCGTTCATTCAAAGCCTCCAGCTGTTTATTCTGGAGAGCTCGTCTGTCAATAAATCCGTAACGACTCTTTCCGAAGGAATTGGGACCGGATGAGGTTGGCGTTTCCCTGCAAACTTGTGTAAGAGATGCTTCACAGCTTACCGTCCCTTGTTTCGCATGCGAATCCGCGCTTCCATGGGCATCTCCTCCTCCTCACTCTAGAAAATTATGCATGTTCGTGGGCATATAAAACCAACTAACTCCTACCTCCTCATCCTGACCAAAAACTTTGGCGACATCACCGCTCACTGGTTGGAGCTTCAAGGTCTCCTTCTTTGCATTATCCGACAGAGACTACATGACGAAACCTCATCATAAAATGAGGGCCCACAAACAAACCTTGCTGGGGAGACTGAGACAGATCCTTTTAGTAGGAAGACATGGCTTTGTTTTTTTTGAGACATTGGAAGGAACGGGAATGGACGAAAGAGGTACAGGCGGATCCCGAGTCTTCGATTCGGAGTCAGAGTGCTTTCGTTTTAAGCTGAGAGGGACTACCTTGTCGGGGGATTTGCTCTTATTCATGCCAGTTCTGCATTCAGTATGACAAATAGAACACCTTTAAGAATAAAAGGAACCATAACAGCATCACAGTTAAACTCCAAAATGTAAAAAATTAGCTAACAATGCAGAAAGTCGCTACGATCACAGAGCTACTGTTTGAGCCTAATCTCGCACAATAATACCAATAAGGACGTAGCAATGAGGCCAACGTGAAGTTTGCGAAGTAAATGGGAAGACGAAATTGTCCACTACTACCACGTACACTTTAATTACTAAGCCAAAAGTATTGACCAATTTAAAATAGCTGAACTCCCATATCAACCAAGTCGGAAGAATACACTCAACAAACTAGCTACCAGTCAAAATGTCTATCAAAACTAAAATGCCAAGGTTGTGTCAGTTGCTAGACCCCATTTCAAACTCAGCCCGCCTAACGTTAATGTGACAAGTAAAATGCAATTCGAATTTAACAAACTACTACGACAAATCGAACGCAAGCTTTTCAGCAGAGAACCGATGTTGAGCACACACATACCATAACAAACGGACACTGAGCAAGGTCAGTTAAACTGTATGCAATGCTTGAAAAAGCAACAAATTAGGTCTTTAACCATTTTTATTCTACAAGTGCATTAAATGCGCTCAAAAGACACAAAACCTAGGCTAATCCTAAAGTTTGAAAATAGGTAAAGTCCATCAAATTGGCAGCGAAGCGCAAAATATCAAACACCGAAATAGTTTATTAGACTTCACATATGTTAATCCTAAGCCTGCCATTTGGTTTTAACAACTTTTACTTTCCACCACCTGCTTGATTTCGCAGGTAGCTAATCCATCATACACATTATTGAGTAATGGTATGCTTCGGAGTCTAGCTCAAAACCTGTGTAGCCAACTGCTATAAAGTTCGAGCCACTCATGCAACTAAATTTTATTAATGTGACACCACAAGACCAATTTAACTGCACATGGGTGTAAATTTAATACGTGTGTCTTTTTAGCTGTTTAGCCATTAATGGTGTAAGATTTTAATAACTTGTAAATTTTCCGAAGTATGGTTTCCAGATCCTAATTCATCCTATGCAAAGCTTTTGTATTTAATAGGTCCTAACATCTGTTTGTTATAATTGCTTGTCCTCGTCGACGAGAGCGCTTTTTGAGTATTGCGTGTTGCGAAATGGGTAAGTATTCATGGGAGCCGAAGACCGAGGATGAGTCTCGCACTTGCAAGGCTCGCGGTTCCTACTGGCGTGTGCACTTTAAGAACACCCATGAGGTTTGTCAAGCCATCAAGGGTATGACTCTTTCACGGGCTCAGGCCTACCTGAAGAATGTCATTGCTAAAAAAGAGATTGTGCCTTTTCGTCGTTTCAATGGCAGTGTTGGTCGACACGCTCAAGCAAAGGCCTGGGGTGTTGTACAGGGTCGCTGGCCGAAAAAGTCTGCCGAGATGATTCTGCATCTCCTTCACAATGCCTTTAGCAATGGGGTTAATAAGGACATCAAGGGCGGTGAGGCCAGTCGGTTATTCATCAAACACATTCAGGTACGGTTGTTTGTTATCCAATTCAGCTCTAGGCTAATCCTGCTCCCGCCATGCGCCGTCGGACGTACCGTGCTCATGGCCGGATCAACCCCTATATGTCCTATCCCTGTCATGTTGAAGTCATTCTAGCCACCAGGGCGGATGTTGTCCCCAAAGTAGCTGCCACTGCTGCACAATCGCCAAAAAAGGAGTCCAAGAAGAAGCTTAAACGTCAGGCTATGAAAGCTGACGATTTTTAAAGCTGACGGATAATAAATAACTTGTACATGGTTTGCTGCGAGCTGGCCGTTACCATTCTTGTGGAACATGGCTCGACCGGGTTTCTTGTTACTCACTGTTGCGTTATCTCCCATTGATTTCTACCTACTTAGCATTTTGGAGATCCTGGTTCTTAGAAGAGGATTAAACTTCCCCTCTTGCACGTGGAGCAGTCTGGTCAGTTTATTTGGTGTGATTGATTGCCTTGCTTTGCATAAGTGGGAAGAATTTGAGGAACTCACTCTGCATGGAGGCGTGACTTAGTTCTTTAGTTAGCTTCCTGTGGAAGTTCCACGGATAGTGATTCTCATCGTGCCCTTTTCTCAAGTGTTCCCCATGAACACAGCTTATAGGTGTAGTAGTTTACTCTTCTTGCATAATTGACACATTCATTTCAGCTCTGGTTGCGATTAAAAGGTACTGATGAGAGGCTTTATTTACAAAGTACACGGTTGTATTTGTTACAAGATGGTTCTTTCTTGCTTCATGATTTGTGTAGGATTTAGCGTTAGTGCACACTTCCTGCTTGAAATTTAGTTGAGGGCTTTTGAATATTGCTCTAAGCCCTTAATTATCCGGCATTGATTCTCGTCACTACCTTGTTTCCCCGATGACGAGACAAATTCTGAGGTTTCGGTATTTCTTGAGTACCTGCGGACAGCGTGCCTTTGGTAGTCGAGTTTCTAGCGAAGGGTGAGAGTGGTTTGCATTGACGGTGTGCCTTGGTGTCGTCTGGGGTCATTGTGCTTTGGTGCGATGGTAGCCTAGTTACCTTGCTCACTTCGGTCGGCCTCAGTCGCGGTCTCACAAAAGGTTGGGTGTTTTTCGTCTGTAGGCTTTCTACAGGGCGTCATAGGTAATGAGTCGTGCTGTTAGTCATGTGTTTTCGCTAATGCGCTACTAGGCAGTCGGCTTGGCGGATGAACAGGTTGTTGCAATCAAAGTGAAGTGAGCTTTTGAACTGCGCAGATTTTGCAATGAAGTCGGACAGTAGGTATTAATGCGCTTAAAATTCCAGCAACGATATTGATGTGTGAATACCTTGGTTGATACAAATGGATTTCGGATGCGTGTAGTATTTGGTTTCGGAGCTTTAGGGTGCTGATTGGGGTTTCGTGTCATTTCTGGCGCTCAGAAACAGGAATAGCTTAAGTCGGGTATCACAACTATTAGTGGAATACAGATGCAGCATTGCAATGTGTCTGTGCATGCTTGGCGAAGGGGACAAGTCGCTTTACTAAAGAGACTCGGATGTATGAAAGGCAGGTGGGTGGGGTGACATACGTAACCTCGAAAAGCACTCTGAACTCCCCCCGTTTGTGGTTTAGTAAAACCGACTAATTTTACTTACTCTGGTGCCTGTAGCGGTTCCAGATTCCCATTGCATTCTAACCTTGATAGGTGGTATTTTAGGCGACTTCGAAGGCTGTTGATAAACCTCAAACGTCCCGTTGACTGACCCGCCACCCTCTGCCAGTCCAGAAAGGGGTATGCAGACCACCCCGAGACACGATCCCACCTTCCCCTCAGTAAGAAGCACCTTCAGACTGGATGATCGTAGATGTCTACACGTAAATTCGATTCAATGAGTTGTCTTTTGCAAAACCCATTAAATAGTGCAGTTGGATTGTTTGAACCTTCGGTCGCACCATTGAGGAATAAAGCACTTTAAAAGATTCTCACCTGTCAAGTTGAGGGGAGTCTTTAAGAGTGATTAGTCTGACGTCAGATGCTGGTGGCTTGTATGCGCTGGATACGTATTCTGAGCACCTCCAGAAGGTGTAAGCGAAGCAAAAATTCACATGAGGCATGAATTCTTCCACACTCAACTCTATCAATAATCGCTTCTTTTTATTACGATCTGCTGTCTTGATGGAAGCGTCGCCAGAATCTTTTGATTTCCTCCTCTGATGTTGCTTAAAGTAGTACCTACCGTCAAAAAATGGGATCGTAACGGTGACAATTCAGAAATGACTCCGCAACATGGATTAACAGGCACTATTGAATTTAGATCAGATTCTGTCTCTGGGTTCTGAACAGATAAATTTATTAGCGGAAATATTTTGATGCACCCGAGTGGAAGCCCTAACAATGCTCCCATGACTTAGGAATGGCCCTAGCTTACCCTCAGGTAACATGTGGTAATCGTGCTGGATGCATCGAGACGAACGTAAAGTGTTTCGAGGGGATGTTGGAATGGCCAATGCCCGTCTATGACAAATTCGCAGGCGACTTGAACAACTATGTCAAAATGGTGATAGTTCTGACGAACTGCTAATTAAATCTACACAACCAACAAAGAGCGGATAACCGGTGTAGGTGTCCCATTGCATGTTTATCTCCTTGTATCCCTTACGCAGGCCTTTTGGGCTCTACTACTGTATATCTTCTCGAAATCGTCATCCGAGGCATATTAATAGCTCCTGCTAATTAGAAACACGGTTCTTCATTAAGTGAATAGCCTAACACAACTAGTGATGAATATGCACGATGAGATGCACATTCAAACCTTTCCTTATGAAAGCTCAAAAAAACAGAATTTCAGATACACAGGAAATGTCTATAAAGATTAAGTGACAATTTGCTAAGTGTCTCAGATGAATTGTGGAAGATATTCTTCCATCCCGGACTACACCGTGATACAGTAATCGAAGAGAACAGGGCAAATGAGTGCTATGATTACCTGCTTGATCTGTCATCCCAAGTTTTTGAACATGTGGACTTCTGAGCATTTATGCGCCTTTGGAAATGTGGCTGCAAGATATTTCTAATAGTTCTATATCTTTCTACAAATCATAGTTTTTGTAGCTCATTTAGGTATTATATACTCTTCTTCCACAGGAGAATTCTCAGGTGGCCGAATGATATCGCTATTTGCATTCACTCCACATTCAAGCGGTTTGACTGGCCGGACTCCTTTATGATTTGTAAGGATACAGGCCATTGGCTACATTTTTGTTAGGTCACTTGGAGAAAAATGATGTCAGCACACAGCATCAATTAAAGGCGAAATCTAATTCCCCAGCATTGACGTTTTTAAAATCTATTTGTCAATTTAATCTACCATAGGTCAAATCAACCCATCTGAAGTAATTGTTAACCTAATTATTTCCGAATGTTGCATGCTAATCTTATCTGTGTTTAAGCGTACAAAGAGTAATTGTGAGCATACCGCCCCACACAGGATCTGCCAATAGTAGTTAAGGTTATTCGTGATTTGACCTGATTTCTCAATGGTCAGTTGTTCGCCAAAATGTGCCAAAATGAGCAATCACAGAATCTATCGGTGTTATTGCCCATTAGATCCAGAATGGCTGCGTGGAAGAGGGAACGTGTCAGTCCGTTATCGCCACACGTGCCAGTATGCAATCATGAGTGAAACGCGCAGGCCCAATAAGGTATTTACTTACCTAAGTGAATAATCAATAGGAGCACGAAATCCCATCCAGTAGATAACCTGTCCAATGACGAGCTGTTGGTGCTTACTCTCCTCAACATTTTGACCGTGCTTTGTTGCGCGAAATTGTCCCACTCTGCTAACCCTAACTGGATGCTCTGCTGGGCCCTCTGCGTTAGTTGCTAAAATGCATTGCAAGGATAAGAAAAGTGTGGGAATTACATGCTGTATTTTACCCGCTTGTACTGGTGAAGAACTAGAAAGTGAATGGAGTTACGCGTTTCATACCCATTCATGTTTATCGGCACGTTTTCCCTCCGACTCTTGAGCAGACTCGCTGACATTAGCCAAAGCTGGTTATTTGAGCCTCTCCATAGAATATTGTTTTATCTTTCACGCGTTCGATTACTACTCTTCCTCTCCCCTATCACTGTGTCCTTGTTGCCGCTCTCCAATGGTTACTTGTTTGTTGGTTGTTACTGCAATGTGGTTGGAACCATTTTGGACGCTCTACATCATAGCGCACAGTCGAAGACTATGAATCAAGTTGCCAAATCGAAAGCTGCCAAAGCGATTGCCTATGTGAAAAAAATAGGACTGTCCCAAGAAGGGTTCATTTGCTCCTCATTCTTTGACTCCCTCGGCTCAGCTTGCTGTCTTAGAGCCTTTCCAGAGCTTCTGTTGTGTTTGCCTGTGTTCCAGTGTTATCAGTGTTTCCTGTTCTGGTTGGTATCCCGCTACCAGATTGCGTATTTCAGAGTACGAAGTCCTCCCTCTTCTCTTCCGCGATAGAAGGCGCATATATTGACTGTAAGAAACGCGAATACTCTTTGGATTGCACATTTAGTCACCAAATTAGACCAATATTTCCTATCCGATTGACGGTGCTTGCAGGCAAGCTATTTGGATCCTTAACATTGGAAGAGTAAATGTTACTGGTGCTAAATGGTTGTGTTTGCCTATGAGAATCTAGAAGAAATTACCAAAGTCGATATGCCCACTTATCATGAACCAAACTGCCGTCCAATTTTTCTGTTCTGATCTTAATACATTTATTGTTTTCCGCATTATATCACTAGAAAAGCACATGCAAAACCACTAGTTTAACGACTTGCAACCCCTTGCATAGAGAATGTTTAATTATCGGTTTCGAGTAGTAAATCACTCGGAGGCCTCGCCATCATACTTCCACATCGTTTCTGGGCCTCCTTCTTCCTTGGGTCGAGGATTGGGTCGTCTTTCGTCTCAAAGAAAGTTCCCGAGCCTCACAATATCTTATGATGCCAAAACGAGAGCTACGTAATGCAATCGACTGAATCGGGAGGGCGATGTATATCGCTGTGATGGTAAATTAATGTCCACCTATTATCAATCATCGGGTTACTTTGATTGGCAGACGGTAAAGGAAGCCATTCATTACCTCGTACTTTTGTCATCGGATAGGATCCAATCTTCTGTATCGATGCCGTTGACATTTTGACTACTGATTTAACTATTTAATTAACAAAAAGGCTGCAAGATTGGGCAGGCAAGTAGCAGCGAAGTACCATTATTTCCCCCATTACCACGTTTACATCTAAATTTTGACCTTTGTTATTCTTACGCGCATATGATTCCGGCCGAAGAAGATAATGCAGGCCCAATTCAAATTCTCCAATCTCTTCCGATGACAGGTCCGGCAATACTCTGTGAAGCTTCACAAAGCAACGTCCCTACAATGCAAAAAAACATCTATTTTGAATCTGAAATCTCGAAACGTAGAAGTCATCAGTTGATTGTCTTCGCTGATTAGCAAAGTTTCAAATGACTGAAAATTCTAGAACGAACTTAATTCATTGTTGTCTATTTAAATGGCCTAAACATGTTCGATGCTCTTTGTGTTTCGCTATATTCCCTATTTCGGTACCTCCCCCCTCCCAAAAAACTGGGTTTTGCACTCAACGGCTTCACCTTATGAAGGTATGTCCAAAATAACTCGTCTGTGATGACAGGATACTGGACGGTGAGGTTGAAGTTGGACCGTTTACCGCGAACAACACCAGTCGATTGGGTCTCGAAGCTATAAAAACGCCATGCACAAAATATTCCGTATGGACAAGCTTCCAATTGCACCGGAGTCAGGTTCATCTCACCCAAGTTGATCTGGGAAGAAATGAGTCAGTAAATGGAATGCACATGAAGTTAGTATCGAAGAGGACTTATAGAGCAAGTAGTGATATGCTAAGTGTGCGAAGAATACCACCTCAAAAAGATTTTTGCACTCCTTGAACGGCGGATTTCCATCTTGGAGAGATTTCTAAAATATGCACAAAAAAAGGGTGCTCAACGTTTATGACGCAAAGATCGTGCTCGACGCTCTATCTTTTACGCATTAGTAACAGCTCAACTTCTAATGGCAGTTGAAAGGTCTAGCTTCGACCACTTGCGCTTCTCTTCCGTTTCTCGGTTGCCTGGATGTCTTTCTGGGAGATCATGTGAATACCTAATGCTACCACCAAGCCAAGGTGATTGTCACTTGATAAATACCAAAGAATGTAGAGGACTAGAGTTATGTAGCAAACCTCTTTCTCTTTTTTGTTTCAAACAACGTTCATATTTCCTCGCTTGTCAGTTTATTGGAATGATGTCTTGTGTAGTATCGGTTTCTAAATGCGTTTCCTTGCGTCCATTTTTTTGTAGCTCCCATGGACTTTTTTGAGTACATTTAAGGCGAGGATTTTGGGATCACTTTGTTTTAGTGGCTTTGCTTTACGGTTCACTTTACTTCTAGCACCAGGAAGTGCCCATCAATCTATGCCATTCTGTTACCGTTACAGGCGGGGCCAGCTGCGGGCTTGGTTTCATGAGCCGACCGCCCCACGATTCCAAAAATCGCGTATCTGTATCGATAGGGGCTGGGTCCATTTGGAGTGTGGCACTCTCCATCGCTCCTCCATGCTCCTCTGGCATTTGGTGATGCGCATCAGGTAGTCGATTTGCTCGATCCAGTCCCTCTGCCGCCTTGGTGTGTATATTCTCCGTCATGCAGCCGACCACTGAAAGAGCCATGTAGTATCGTGTCTACAAATTGGAATGACCGAAGACCTCTACTGACGAAATCTGAGACCCGAGGTCTCATTACCGTTGTCAAATTGTTTATCTTTCTACCGCACTCATCGGTAAGCTCTCCATTTTCGCACCAACCCACCACTGGACTTGAATGATAAAATCTTTTCATAAGGTGCGGCAATTTGGTGCGCCGATAAATTAATTGTAGTCACTAATTTTAGAAGATGAATATGATTCGGATCATTTAAGTACCAGCATAACAACAAATTACTGAGCGGCATCAAAAGTTACCTTCGTTTTGAGGTGTTTTTGAAGTCCATGGAAGTCCAGTTCCATCTATACTCTCGACAAGGTAGTCTTTTTGTCCACTCATTCGAATGAGCGCAGCCTCCAAATCCTCTACATCCAGACCAACTGACTGAAATAAAATGAAGATGTAGAGAATGAATGTCTGAAGACATTAGGTAAACATTTTGAAGGTCAAATTTAGCTGCCTAGGTTACAGGTCGACCAGATCTTTTGCATTCAATATGCAGCAGTGTTAGTGAGCTTCAAGAATTATATTGCCTGTGACGAATCTCTGATGGAGTCGACAAACGTGGTAAAGCACGAAACGTGAAATAAAACGAAACTGAAGGATGGTAAATCGAGTTGGATGGGCTTAATGGAGGTTGATAATTGAATTGGCCTAAAATCGTGCGTTGATGGACGGACTTGGAACGGCTTTGTAAGTGAATTTTCATTAGGTATGGGAATGGAGAGGTTTCAGATGAATTGACCTATTGTTAGGGTGGTTGAAATCTACTTTTATGAGCTGATGGCTTTGAAGCACACGAGCTCCATGCTTAAGACTGACGATTTTGGGGTGTTCACGACTAATAAGGACCATGAGTATGATTGAGTAGGGCCTTTACAGTTTCGTTGGGTCTATATTATTGGTGAGAGCACAAAGTTGGTCATCTTTAGCCAGTCCCATCACTGTGCAAGGCAATAGTTTTCCGGTTTGTTGCTCTATGCATATAAATGTCCCTTTCACTGACAGTGGTCTTCCTTATCGTAGCAACTTTCGAGAAGCACCACAGAAGACGATGTGGTCAATGTATTCTCATTATTCAACCTCGATGAATATATGGGCTTTAAGACGTATAGAATTATCAGAGGTAAACGAAAGTGATAACCACAGTAGCGAAACAGTAAGTGGGTGGTAAAATCATTGTTCTCTCTTACCTTACACAGCTCTTGCAGGTTCCGAGAAGGTTGTTGTTCCTCTAAGCGTCGATAAAGTGCCTCAATTCGTGCCTCCGCACTCCGCGCTCGAGTTTGTAGGGTGCTATGAATACGACGCATCTCTTCGTACTGCTTTTCTCTATCACCCCGCGAATCAGACATTCTGCGTTCCAGACGCTGTAGTTTTTCCAACAATAAACTCACTGTCTTAGGGTCTGATTCCTGTACTGTTGAGCTATTAAAAATTTGTTAAAGAAGTTGAGTCATTGATGAATTTGTGTTTTTTCCCCAGCAATGGATGGGTTTTGAATGCGTTGACGATGAATATTTAACGATCAAATGAGCAAAAAGGCAATTGATGGGATAAATGAAGCAGCAATCGTAGAAGATTATCCTCCTAATTTCCCTTGCTACTGCTGAAGAGGCAGAATATATTGCTACGAATGGGAGTAAAGACGACGATTCAGAAAGAGGCCTAAAGATGTTGTCCACTGCCGGCAACTGCTTCAATCTTGTGTTTTTTGGAAAGTTAAGAAGGGAATCGACTCTGCAAAAGCTTCATTGTCTAAGTAAGGAAGTAAACAACATGAAAGTGTATGTGTCTCTATCTCTACAGAAATCTTGTACTTCCTTTCGTGGTGGTCAAGAGAAACTCCTTTCCCAAATGTATGATTAGGTCGTGATGATTGACACTGGAAATTTATCAAGAGGAGCACCAAGAACAACAGTCGCCAAAAGAATCAGACTAATGTAATTTGACTGCCTAACTGACAGTTTCGGTTATGGACGCTTGATTGGCCACTTTTGCCCTTCCCGAATGGGCTGGCCTCTGGAGTGTACGAGTAGACTCAATGTATATGCTGTTCGAGTGTTCTTTTCTTCCCTCTTCAGGAAGAATGGATACAACTGAAATTAAATTGTTGAATCCGAAAGAAATGAACACACCAAGCACCGATAAATAACTGGGTGGGTGGGGATGCTGTTCAGCAAATGTACCTTTTTGGTATTTGGGCATTGGATTCGCGAATGTCTTCGTTTTCTCGTTCATATTTGGCCACTAGGTTCTCAAGCTAAAAAAAGCAACCAATTATTGCATGAAAACACTATTGAGAATTGAAAACATGAGTACGTCTTAGCGTCCTTAAGTAAAACACTTTAACAGTGCCAAAAAAATGTCAGTTCAATTGCTTCTGTCGCCTACCTGAGTAGGTTAAGTAAAACTTCTACTTCTTTTACTCATTCAAAATATCGTCTCGAAGGTATGAATGTTTCTGCGATACTTAACCACTAAGAATATCCATCAACTTAATCAATCTGCAAAACCGCAGTCCATATTCTTGTCAAATATGGAGAGAGATAGTAGGGAGAAAAATAGGGTAAGTAAAGCCATAATGATCGCCACCATACCCAGAGGTTAGCAACATGGATGATGAATGAAAGAACTACGTAAACACTAGGTCGGTCTATTAATTTATCATACGAATTCGTAAAAGGAAAAAAAACTCATAATAGTAAGCAAAGCTCTTCGCGTGCTGTAAATAGTGGCGGAGAAACTCTCTGCACTGCTATTGTTTATTCTTTTTGACTCCAGTCTAGAATCAAACAATTCGACAAATAGTGAAGGGAAGGCAATTAAACAAACTTTGCACCATGTCGCCCCAAAGAAATGGTGCGTCTGCGCGTTGAGTGTTAAACGGCATTTTTGTTGACGATACATACAGGATAAAACAGATCGGCAAACTGGAATCCGAAGAAGGAATGGCTAACATTGAAAATGCATTTATCCAAGCTCCCGAGCAGTCGGAAGGGAATATAACATCTAGCACTTGCAAATGAACAACCATACTCCTACCGAGATGACGGAGATAAGTGATTCTTTTAATATGCTGCACATTCGGCTTGCGGCAAAAGTCGATTGATAGTTGATTCAGTGAACGAGTAGGCAAATGGTTAAATAATTAAATAAAAACGATCAGACTTGTGCGCTCTTAATGCTGTGAAATGCACTAGCGACGCAAAAGGTGATTAATAATGGAACTCCCTCGTCCGATTGCCTACTGCCACTCGGTTTTAAATGGGAAAGATCACGCCACAGAAAAGGAGCCAAATGCTAGGCATTAGAAAACTTGGCAGTGGTACACGGCGGAAAGTAAAGCGTGAAGGTAGCACGAATATTGGGTGTCTTCAAATTGAATTTATGTGTCGGAAAGTTTGGATGATTTCTTTGCCCTTTGCAAGGCGATAGAGGCTGGAAGTCGGAGTTACTTTGGGATGCTACCCTTTCTTATAATACAAGTGATAGGGTAAGCAATGCTATTTCTTAAGATCAGCCAATCTGTTAATAAACAGTTAGGCGCTCTTAAAACCGAGGTAGAGAAAGATCATGTCAATGCAATGCATGTTTCCCCAAAGTATTCTTTAACAGCTACACATTTCAGACTTAGTAATCCAAAATATTCCGGACTCAGTATCAACAAGAAAACTTGCTATAATAACTTACATGGCGCAGTTTAACTTGCAGCTCATTGCTTTTTATGGCCTCTGCCTGGAATTCTTGTCTGCTTGTACTGTGCTCCTCTGTGCCTGTCAACTTCATTTCTTCCATGGTTAAGGCAAGCTGGGCCGACAATCTCTCAATTTCCTTCTCTTTCTCCATAAGCTGTCGCCTTAGACGTATAATTTCGATGTTTTCGGCGACGCCATCACTAAATCAGAAAAAGCTCTCGTTTACAGCAAATGAAAGCTAATGCATTTTGTAGTGGTAATATTTGAAGGCAAGGGTTACCGCTGTTGCGATGCAGATTTTTCCCCATCTTTATCACGAATTATATGATCCTGATTTTTCATAGCCAACTCCAATTCCTTGATTCGAGACTTCAATTGCACGTTCTGATTATTAAGCAGTTTTATGGCTCGTTCTCTAAAGATATAAAGCCAGTAATCAAATACTAAGGTCAAAGCTGAGAGGATTAGTCATTTTTCAATATCATATCTCCTGTACATTAGAACTGTTGTCAATACACTGGCCAAAAGAAGATATCACAAGGCGAATGCCATGATTAGCTCAAAATATGGTTTGGTAGTTTATTTGCATATTAGGTCGACAAGCAGATAAATTGTGCGTAAAACCACAAGCAAAACCTCACAAATAATTCTAGAAGACTAACAATGCTGAGTTTTGGATGTTCTGTCTTTTGATTTTCCGTAATAGAGGTGCTGACTTATCCAAAGGCAGCCACATATCCTTCGAAAGATAAAAAATGTATCATCAAGTAAGGGATCCAATTATATATATTTGCTTAGGAAACTAGGTCACGCAAATAAATAAGTACAAAATGCTCGTACAAACATTGCACAAATTTTCCATTTAATATGCCTGCAGTATGCAAGGAAGTAGTGCAATAATTAGCTCACTCATTGTGTAATGAGATGACCCTACCTTTTTTATATCTTTATCTTCCTTATTGACTTCCTCACTCGCCTTAGAATATACATCGGAAAATTTCTTATTGTCTGCGGCGATTCTCATAATCTTTGTATTAAGCCTTTAAGAGTTGCAATGTATAACACAATTCCCCACGTTTTTATTTTAATAGTTTGGTCTGCAATAACACGACGAAACCCTTGATTTTCATCATACAAACGCAAGTAAGCATCCTCCAGCTCGTCTTTAGTCCAATCACGAACTTTCCTAGTATGAATAGCCATTAACGCCCCCACCTATCTGACCTGCACATTTCACACACAAGAAAATCACGTTTTATTTTATCTTCAATTTACGTTACTAGTAGCAACATCTCACCAGACCAATCATTTTTCAACATTACAATTTGTAGTCTATATAACAAAGAATAATTATATGTTTCAGGATTAGTACGCCGCTGAATAAATTTTTAGATTATTTTCGCTGCACTTGTACATTGCGGAACTGTTTTTTCACAACGGTTTCCTGCAGGTAGCAAAATAACTACATTAAGAATATTTGCTTTGACTAAAGCAAAACTCGTTCAATATTCATGCCCTTTTGCACTGATGAAAGCATACAACTTCCGGCTTCGTTAGGTACGTTGTCATCGGAACATTATTTTGTTCAAATAGACATTCAACAAGCAGTTGCAAAAGTGAGACTTTCGCTTGACCCTGGGGTAAGCCTAGCCAGCAGAGGCATGACAACCGCCAAAGTAGGCGGCATGCACGGGGACAATCAAATAATGGCAGGATTTTGCAGCTCCACTCTTCTTTAGAACAGTGTCTATGGCAAATCTTTCGATGCACTTCTTTTTCATCCCTCTTGACTTATTCCCTGCTGCGAGAAAATGGCACAAGGTAACCCCTTAACGACATCAAAGGGTGACCTGAGATCAGAACTCGGAGGCAGCAATCTCTGCTAACTATCGGTTGTGCCTAGGACTAGACTTCGGAGCAATTAGCCTAAACAGCTTTGTAACAGATTCACAGGACTCAAAGCACTCCTTTGTGGCGGAGGAAGTAGTCGAAGAATTAAGCCCTGATGGACTAGAGGGGACTGGACGACAAAATTTATCTAAATGGTTCATGGTGGTGTGGCTTCAATTGCTATAAACTTGGCTGTAGAAAACAAGAATGAAATAGATTTAAACGCTTTTTTATTGTAGAGCTGTTAGATATTCCATTGACCGGAGTTAGTACACGAAGAGTAAAAACCATCTTAACGTCGCAACAGAGTCGAGCTCATAATTTTACTGCCAATAGTGTAAGGTTTGTTGGGCTTCTCGTTTGATAAGACATTAGGCATGGCTGAATACCTATATTCAGGCTTTGACTTAGCCTTAAGGTCACTTACCCAGCTAAGAGCAAGATGAGTACCAAAAAGAAAGGCTACGATACAGGTATTTGTGTAAAGGAAGCATTGCAGCGATCATCTTATACCATATGATCGCCTGATTTTAATGTGCGGTATTCATTTTGAATCACAATTGAGTGGAACTTTAAATACTAGATTAGTCAGGGTTGACTTTATGAAGTCGTTTCATATTTTGGAGAGCTATAAAGACTACCTATTTAAATGGCATTTCAGAGCTCTTAACGTAACGGGGCGTAATCCTTTCCACAATTTCATATAAAGTCTATTAAACTGAGAGTGCAGTTGAGAAAGGCGAAATTCGCTGCTCTTATCGCATAAGGGATGTGTGTGCATGCACAACAGAAGTTGTAGTGCAGTCAGTTACAAGTTATAGGAGGACTTTGGACTCCCCAACAAGGATAGAGGATTGAATATTCTCTCCGAAGTTCTGAGCTGCCGGCCAATTCACCAGCAATGGGTGCACTGGTGGGGGCGCAGAAATTGAAAGTTAGACAAGGTATCAAAGTGTTGCATTTATGCTTTTCGAATTCTTTGGAACTTTTTTCATTAAAACTATTGACATACTGATGTCACTTATTTCTTATGAGGTCCTGAGACAAGGTAGTCTAGATGGACCAAAACTTACGCACATTTCGAGATTACTAAATCGCATTTACATGAAGCAAGTTCAAAAACCGGTTTTTTATAAGGAAGAATAATTCAAGCAGCTTTAAGGATGTAGGAAATGTTTTATTCACTTGTATTTTCTGCGTTCTTTTTATTTCCATCTACAAACACGTAAATCTGCCTTGCACTGTATACTTATAATTTATAGGTAGGTTAGTCACCTCCGACACATTTGTTTTTTAGCCTGAAAAAATCGTGTTTTGATTATGTTTCTATGGCGATCACGCCAACACCTCTTTCACTCCAAAGTAATGCATCGCCAGACACAAATATTCCAGCACTTCCTTTTAAAATCAGACCGTCAAGTCCCCCAGCATTGGGATGTGGCGGTAGTGCTGTTTTTGTGTGTCCACCGGTTTGCCCTTTGTGTTGGTGTTTTGACCAGACCGCCAATGTTTACCCCAAAAACCGGGGAGTACAAGAGTCGACCCTCCTGCTCTTTACCCCTTTCTTATGCCATTTGTCAACATCCCAGGCTGTGGAACGGGTACGTCTAAAACGTCTGCTCTCTCCCTCACCTTTTCCCCTCTAAATCGTTTTGAACCCTCTTTGTGCCATGGCCATGCCTTTGGTTGGAGTGTAAGTCTGTGCTCCTACAATCTGTGTAGTTCTTCCTCCTACGTGCCTTTCCTTTTGGTTAACTTCAACGGGCTAAACTACAGCTCCGCAATAGCCGATTTGGAATGTGAAATTGGTATACTTCATTCCTCTCCAAAGTTGTGGTACAGCCACATGCATCCAGTAGCTTTACATGCGCTGCTACCTCCCACAAGCATTTAGCAATTCTTGCCCTGTCAGATTTTATTATTAAACCCATCAATTACTACTATTATGAATGCAAGCTGGAGTTGTTGCGATGGCCTTCAGGCTCGGGAGCCATCAATTAAGTCTGTCCGCGCCCCCCGGAGGAGAGGTTAAAGAGGAGTCCGAGGTGTGCATCCAGTGGCACGCCATTCTCCCTTATAAGTCGTGCTGTCAACCTCCGACCCCGCTTTCATTTCACCGCATGCGCTTCAACGTAGAAGTGGACTCTTCTAACGGGAAACCTTACATGCATTTCCACCTTAAAAATGCTTGATTGCAATCGCATCTTTTACGATGGGTGAATCTGACTAAGACTAGACATCTTTTTCTTATTCATTCAAAATAACCCCTTGAAGAAGTATTTTTGAGCTCCGAGAATCAAAGTAGTGTCCAAGTAGTCACTTAAAATTGGTTTTACCAAAACCGCATGCCTTCAAAGCGTCAGTACTCATTCCTTTGATATCCTCTGATGAGGCATAATTTATTAAGAACCTCCTGTCATTTCTGCCTCACTGCAGGCACTAAAACGAGTCTGGTCTACTTCTGATGCGATAATATTTCATATTTAATAGCCGCTAACTGCACCACAAGCATCCGATTTGATTTCAACCGTCAGTTTTGTGCTTTATTCATGATCACATCAAAGTGATGCCCCAAACCGCTCCCTCCCTCTCTCCCTCTCTGCCCTATCATTTAACCGTCTCTCCTCCTAGTTAGAAAGTCTTTATCGCACAACTTCACAATTTTGAGTCTATTAATTACACCAGCGTGTGTGTGTGTGTGTGTGGGTCTTAATTGTTGGCAAGTCTTTTTTTCTTGCTCGATCAATTTGTGACTGCCATTTGCAGACAGCTTCACTCACACACATACATTAGAGAAATGCTCATTATAATGCAAATTTGGAGAAGAGTTATCATCGCCTTATGCCAAATTGTCAGTTGGTTGCATACAGAGCACCTTGACTGAGGGACGCCTAGGCACCTGGATGACCTTGACAAATAAAATGATGATATTTTTGGTGAGTTGGTGGTACCAACGATCGGTCAACTAGCCCTAATGCTCTACGGTGCTTTGATGTTGTTTTACATGTCTTTATTCTGGGTTTACTTTTGTTTGCTCAGTCTCTTGGTAGCATTTCTAAGGAGCAGCTATAGGAAGAAAGGAGGGACTGAGTGAGAGGAAGGAGAAAGACGGATAAGTTTATCACTGATAGAAGTGTGTGTGTATTTGTGTGATACTGCGCAAAAAAAAACACTCGTTTACTCTCAAAATCCGTCGCCATCTCGGTAAAATGAACAACTTTGAAAGCGCCTGTTGGCTGTCCTCTCACTTTCCTTTCCTTTGGCCAATTAACTCTTTTTTTCCTTTTCTAATCCTCCCAATGTGGATTAAAAGAGGAGCTATTGTCGAAAAGCGGGTTGACAAAGGAGGTTTCATGATCCTTCAGACGCCTTTTGGTGGTTACACGCCACCACGCACAATTATGTTGTCCCCTTTTTCGCACCTTCTTCTTCTGTCGTGTCGATACAGTCTTAGAATGCGACAGTATTTTGCTAGGCGCGTGTTAATTCAAACGCAAGGCAAAGTACTATTTAATTCCAGAACTTCAAACGAACCGACAAAGGTTGTTTTGTTGCATCTCCACTGGAGTTGTTTTCCTCGTCCGGAATGCGTGCAAGTGCGCACGGATGCCAACACACACACACACACAGGCGGGCTAGATTTCAATAGCGTCGTCTCCACCGCCTCTCTTCATTCTGGTCGCGCCGACCCAGTTGTCACTGCAACTTCAAACGTCCCATGCGGCGCGGTGAGATGAGGATATTCCCGCCCCCTTTTTAATCCTCATCTCATCTCTGCGGGACGAGGTCTGGAGGATAAATTAGGCCAATTTACCGCATTTTGCTCTTCCGTAAAAAAACTCCTTT